CCTATAAAGTGTTTTGAAACTTACTGTGCGGAATAATTTGGAACAGTGCATTGTAAGTGTTTTATGTTTAAAAAAAATCCTGTTATCATTAGGAGGTTTGTTCAATAAAATGTGAATTGTACTCTTAATAGTTGATAACATGAGAATTATGCTGACTGTTATTTACATCAATTATTTAGGTAAATGAGAAAAATATTATTTGCATAATAATTTGGAACACGGTGTAGGGTGGTGTCAGTGTGCTTCACTGTAAGCACACTGCTTTGGCATCCAAAGCAGTGTGCCCGAGCTGACAGGGAGGAGAACTGTTAGTACACAAAACAGTTCTCCTCCCCGTCGGAGATCATCGGAAATCACCGGGCGGTGGCGAGTACTCACCGTCCGGGACCCGGTGATTGACAGCAGCGACCGGGAATGGCGGCGTGGCAAGGGTGCATGCCCCCTGCCCAGAAATGCAAAAATCACGTATATATGCACACACACGTGATGTTGCGCACCCATACCACCCTGTAGCAGTATATATCCTATGGGGTGGACGGGAAGCGGTTAATGACACTGGCTGGGAAGGGGTTAAACATCTAGGGCGATCAAACAATTAATTGCTTGCCTAGCTAGTGCATTTGTGTTGTTGCTGGGGTGGTATGTTGATTAGGGGGCCCATTGTTGCTGGAGGAATCTATTGTTGCTGGGGGGGGGGGGGTCTACTGTATTGTTGGTGGGGGTCAATTGTTGCTGGAAGGATTTACTATTAAGGGAGGGGTCTACACATCTACTGATGTGTGCACTGTTTATACTAGGCCATGTGCTAGATTTTATTCCCTGAATAAAACCTAGCAGATCGCTCGGGTGCTGGCGCTCATCTATTGGCTGGCACCTGTTGATCGGCTTCTGCTGTGTCCACTCCCAGCAGAAGTTGCGCTCTGGCAGCAGGCGTGCGACCCCCGGTGGCGAAAATACGTTTATATATGTGACTTTGCACAGAACGTCCACCCTGTAGCAGTAAATCTGCTAGAAGGCAGAGGTCAAGTGGTAAAAATCAGCATTTTCTACTAGAAAATTACTTAGAACCCCCAAACATTACATATTTCCTGAAAGCAGAGGCCCTGGAGAACAAAATGTTGGCTGTTGAAATGTTTTAAGTCACATGATATTTTGCACACAGCTGTTTACCAAACACAATGTTCTAGGGATGCACTGAAATCTAGGTGGCCAAAACGTTTGGGTCAAAAACACTCATTCGGCCGAAATGAAAAAAAAAAAAAAAAAGCACCGATACAGGTGCCGAAAAAACCCCGCCCCTCGCTGCCCCTCGCTGCCAGCAGCCACCGCTCAGTAGTTCTCAGCCTTACCTGGGAAACCATCGAACGATCCCAGCGCTGGGCATAGAGATGAGTGAAGGAAAGATGGCCTCCACTCACCTTTATGCCCTTGGAGGACCGAAGTGATGTCACTTCTGTTCTGACCATTTTTTTTTTTTTAAAGCACTAAATCAATGCTTTTTTTTGATCCAATGCTTTACATTGCAGAGGAGAGATGTGGGGTCTTATTGACCCCACATCTCTCCATAAAGAGGACCTGTCACTAATTATTTCTATCACAAGGGATGCATGCATTTCTTTTGATAAGAATAAAAGTGATTTTATTTTTAAAAGGAAAGTGCGCAAAAAAAAACAAAAAAAAATTAAATAAATGTAAAAAAATGTTTAAAGTGCCCCCATCCCCCCGTTCTCGCACCTAGTGGTGAACGCATACGTAGGCCACGCCCACATATGTACATGGTCTTCAAACCACACACGTGAAGTATAGCCACGAACATCGGAGCAAGAGCAATAATTCTCACACTAAACCTTTTCTGTAACTTTACACTGCTAACCTGTAGAAATTGTTAAAGCATCACCCATGGAGATTTTTAAGTACCGCAGTTTCACACAATTTCACGAGCGTGCGCAATTTTAAAGTGTGACATGTTGGGTATCTATTTACTCGCCAGAATATCCTCTTTCATATTTTGCAAAAACATTGGGGTATATCATTTTTTTTTTTTCTTTTTTTTTTTTAATCAAACTGTATTTTTTTTGCAAAAAAATATATATTCATTTTTAAAAAACTGCGCATGTTGGGTATCTATTTACTCGCCAGAATATCCTCTTTCATATTTTACAAAAACATTGGGGTATATATATCTTTTTTTTTTTTTTTTTTTTTTTTTATCAAACTGTATTTTTTTTGCAAAAAAATATATATTCATTTTTAAAAACTGCGCATTTTGGTTTTCGGCAAGCTGCTTGCTGTGGGGGGCACCTGATAGGAGGGAGGGGCCAGGAGAGCCTGCGGGGGACCAGAGAAAAGGAGGATCCGGACTGCTCTGTGCAAAACCACTGCACACAGCAGGCAAGTATAGACATGTTTGTTATTTACCCCCCCAATAAAAAAAAAATGAAAAGAACCCTTAAAATCGCTTTATAGCCATCACAAGGGGGGGTGACGAAACCTCCTTGTGATAACTTTTGGCAGGTGGCAGGTACTCGTTATGAAGACATAAGGGGTCTATTGGACCTCTGAGGTCCCACCTGTTCTCCAAGCCAACTGATTAACCCCTTGGCACCGGTGCCTCCGGGCCCTTTAAGAATTTCAGCAGCCGGGAGGTTGGGCGGGGTTTAGGGTCATGTGACCGCCGTGACACCGTCACATGATGGGGAAAGGTCCCGATCGAAAGAGGAGATCGGGACCTTTCCGTGAGTACCAGACATGTGTGCTGGGAGCACGCAGGGCGCGCGTTCTCAGCACATATGTTTTTTTTTCAATAGAACGCAAATGTGCGGCCACTCGGTGTCTAGGCCCAGACGCTGAAGGCCGCATATTTGCGTACGGCCGGCACGAAGAGGTTAAACAGATCTTGTTTGATTAGCTGCTCCCCTGGCTGTAACAGGTAGGAAATGTCTGAAAATGGACATCACAAAATCCTCATCGCTTCCAGGTTCATTCGTTACAGAGGAGATGGAGAAACAGAAGTTCTTCACTCTCCTCTGAAAAAAGCCATCTTGACTGTTTACTGCAGTCCCGGGCTTTCTGGAGGAAAGGTAGAGCATGGGAGCCAGCACGGGCCACAGTGGCAGGGGTCCTTCTGAGCCACTTTTACCCTGACCTGGGAGGGTATCAGTCGGGAGGAGACGGCATTCCTTGGAAGGCTTCAGTGGCATGTAGATCACTCTGGGTAACGTTTACATGTGATGCTGAGCCTCCATGATTGACAGAATGAAAATCCAATGAATGAAAAAGGGGCGGGCCAGGGTCAGTCAGATTGGGGAGGAAAGTGCTAAAACTATTATTATTATACAGGATTTATATAGCGCCAACAGTTTGCGCAGCGCTTTACAATATAAGGGAGACAGTGCAAATACAATACATTTCAGTACAGAAGGAATAGGAGGGCCCTGTTCGTGGAGCTTACAATCTAAAAGAAGGGGGAGGGATACAAAAAGTGATAGCTGCGGGGGATGATCTGGCGGAGGTGATTCAACTACAGTTCTTAGGTGGAGGTGGGGGGTAGGCTTCCCTGAAAAAGTGAGTTTTCAAAGATGGCCTAAAGGCAGACAGGGTGGGGGCTGACCGGACATGCTGTGGTAGGGAGTTCCAGAGGATGGGAGAGGCTCTGGAGAAGTCCTGGAGGCGAGCGTGGGAGGAGGTGATGAGGGAGCTAGAGAGGAGGATATCATGGGAGGAGCGGAGTGGGCGATTTGGGCGGTATCTGCAGATGAGGTTGGTGATGTAGCTAAGGGCAGTGTTGTGGATGGCTTTGTAGGCTGTGGTTAGTATTATGAATTTTATACATTGGGTTAGTGGAAGCCAGTGAAGGGATTGGCAGAGAGGGGCAGCAGTCGCTGATCGGTTGGTAAGGTGTATGAGTCTAGCAGCAGCATTCATAATAGACTGAAGGGGGGATAGCCTGTGTAACGGTAGACCAGTGAGGAGGGAGTTGCAGTAATCAAGGCGGGATATAACCAAGGCGTGGATAAGTTGTTTTGTGGTGTCATTGGTAAAATGATGCTGGACGCCCTCCAACCAGGAAATGAGGCGAGCTTGCTGCAGCTTCTAATGCACATTGTAAGCAGCTCACAGTGTGCAGTGAAATCAGAGTAAGCCATTTCAGTCCAGGAGAAGAGCCGGTAGAACTGGGCAAGACTGAAGTGAAGGCTGGAGGTCAGCTTTGAAGTCTCACCTGGGTGTCTGGCTGTTTTCCCTCCTCTCCTCCGACAGAAATCCAGGCCGGGTCTCAGTTCTTGCTTCACTCCTGTGATGGATTCTCTCAGAGAACAAGCTGTGGAAGGAAAGGAGAGAACACAATGACCTTCCTTCTGATAGCACCCCCGATGTGTCCCCTACTCCAACCTGCCATGTTAACCACTTCCAGTCCGGACACTTTCACCCCCTTCCTGTCCAGGCCAATTTTCAGCTTTCAGCGCTGTCACACTTTGAATGACAATTGCGCGGTCATGCAACACTGCACCCATATGTATTTTTTAGCATTTTTTTGAGACAGATAAAGCTTTATTTTGGTGGTATTTATTCACCACTGGGATTTTTTTTTTTACTATATAAGTGAAAAAGCCCAAACATTTTGAAAAAAACGTGTTTTTCTTATAAAATTTTGCAAATAAATAATATTTCATCATAAATCTTGGCCAAAATGTATTCCGTTATCTTTTTAGTAAAAAAAAAAAAAAAAAAATAACCCAAATTAGTTTAACCAAAAATTATAATTTGTAAAAATGTTTTTTACATGATTTATTTTTTTATATTATTATTTATGGGGTTTTTTTACATACTGTCACCCTAGCAGTACAGTGTCACCATGGTGACACTGTACTACTTGTGGGGGGGGTGATGAAGATTTTTTTTTTTTTTTTTTTTTTTTTTTACACTGATTGCTTTTACACCCATAAAGGCTGTAAAAGCAATCATTTCTCCTTTCTGGCTGCATTCTTGCAGCCATTGAGAATTGCTGTGTGAGCTGTGATTGGTCACAGCTTGTCACATGGTACAAGGTTGTTGTGAATAGCCTTGTACCATGTGACCTCTGTGATCATTCACAGATTTCACACGTAGTAAGCAATGATGTCAGAAGTGACATCTTGCTTACTACTTTGCATGGGATCACTGATTGGCCAATCAGTGATCACATGATCGGGACCTCACACAGAGGTCCCGTCTGACGATCAGTGTTCCACTGTACCCAGAGGACACAGCGGGCACCGGATCTCGGTGCTGCGCGCTCCCAGGGATCGCACACAAGCAGGGGGCGGGGAGGCCGTTTATAAACAGCAACCCGCCCCTGCACTGCCACCGTCCGGCCGTTTATATACATGGGCCAGAGGGGAGGTGGTTAAAGCTGAACTCCGGGCAGATATCAAAGACTCAACTTGGTGCATTCTTGTAATCATTAAATGCATTTTAACCCCTCGCCTACAGGGCACTTATACCCCCTTCCTGCCGAGGCCAATTTCTAGCTTTCAGCGCTATCACACTTTGAATGACAATTGCGCGGTCATGCAACACTGTACCCATATGAAAATTGTATCATTTTTTTGTGACAGATAGAGCTTTCTTTTGGTGGTATTTAATCACCTCTGTGATTTTATTTTTTCTTAAACAAACCAAAAACCACTGAAAATTTTGAAAAAAAAAAAAAACGTTTTTTCTTAGTTTTTGTTATAAAATTTTGTAAATAAGTGATTTTTCTCCTTCACTGATGTATGCTAATGAGGCTGCAGTGATGGGCACTGATAGGTGGCACTGATGAGGCACTGGTAGGTGGCACTGATGGGCATTGACAGGCATCACTGATGGGCACTGAAAGGCAGCACTCATATATGGCACTGATAGGTGGCACTGGCAGGCACTGTTAGGCAGCACTGACAGGCACTGATGCACACCGATAGGCGGCACTGACTGGCACTGATAGGTGGCACTGAAAGACAGCTCAGATGGGCACTGATATGTGGCATTGATGTGAACTGGTAGGCACTGATGTGGCACTGATGGGCACTGGCAGGTGGCATGGATGAGTACAGAGCTGGCACTAATGGACACTGACAGGTGGCACTGCTGGGGCTACACTGATGATCAGGGCACATGTCCCCTCGTGGAATGCCGATTACCGGCTCTCCTCTCCTCTGTCAGCGTGACAGCTCGAGAGGAGAGAAATGCCGATACCCGCATTTCCCTGTTTACATGTGATCAGCTGTGATTGGACACAGCTGATCACATGACTAAGCCGACATCTTCGGCTCTTTCTGTGGATCGGTGAGCTGCTGTGTCCCACCGCCGATTGCCGCACGCTCCCAAAGCCGCTCATGCGCGGTTAGAATGGGAGGACGTCATATGATGCCCACCCAGAACGAGAAAAACCACCTTGCGTCCGTCATTGGACTATATGGCGGGCGGGAGGCGGTTAAAAACACAGAAGCAGTGTAAGTACCTGAATGTGACTTTGGATCAGCCTCTTGTAATCCCTGTACAGTACAGCACAGCTCAGACTAGGAGAGGGAGCAGCAGCAGCACAAGGAGCCAATCAATTGTAATGCAATGCTCATGTGCCAACAAGGTACATGCTGTTAGAAGACAAAAAGCAGAGAGATGAGCTCTTTAATCTTCTGCTTCTCCTTTCAGTCCAGGCTGGAGGGAGGGGGGGGGGGGGGGGCAAGACCTGTTAGTGTTACTGAACTGCAGAAGAGAAAAATCAGGTCTGCTCCCCTGACAGATAGAGCCGTGCTGTGGTGAAGAGCTGTGTAAATCTCAGGACTGGATGGGAGAAAAACAAATTCTATAAAGTATGTCTTCCATCTGTGTATTTAGCCGTTTAGATTGAACCTAAAAAAATGCTGCACGCACAACGACTTAAATCGGAGTTCCAGCTGAAACACAAAAAAAAAAAAAAAAAAAAAAAAGGCAGCAGCTACAAAAACTGTAGCTGCTGACTTTCAAAAAACAGCCACTTACCTGTCCCTCAGTCCAGCGGTGTCCTCACCACAGCTGGTTTCACCGGCTGTCTTCTCTCCCCAGTGCCGTCATCTTCAGTGTGGACACACCCAGCTCTGACAGCTTGCGGCTCAATCACCGGGTCCCGGCCAGTGATTTACTCACCGGTGCCCGGTGATTTCCAAGGATCTCCGACAGGGAGGAGGACTGTTTTATTTTTCACTCATTTGTATTGAATTTTCAGAGTTAGAAAAGGTAACAACTTGTCTCAGTTGACAAACCAAGATACATATCATATTCCCAGACATTATCATATAACAAATTAGCATTCAACAGGTTAACCCCTTCCCGCCGGCGCCTCCCGGCCCTTTAAGTTTCAGAAGCCGGGAGGCGGGACAGGCAGGGTGGCATTTAGGGATCATGTGACCGCCGTGACGCGTCGTCACGGTAGACACATGATCGGGAAAGGTCCCGATCGAAAGAGCAGACCGGGACCTTTCCGTGCGTACCTGACATGTGTGCTGGGAAAGCAGTGTGTTTACAGCAAAGCACACTGACACCGCCCCCTGGTAAAACCTCCCAGCACACAGTTAACCCTTGATCGCCCCTCATGTTAACCCCTTCCTACCCAGTGCCAAAGCTTTTTTTTTTTTTTTTAGCACTGATCACTGTACTGGTGTCACTGGGGATGTCAATGACACCAAGTCAGTTCCCCCCAGTGACAGAATGTCTGCTGCAAGTGTACAATCCAAACGCACACATTTCTGTGTTAAAAATGGCGGTGTGTATAAGTGGGTGCTGCAGCGACCATCGGCTGGAACAGAATCAGCAAGGGAGAATGTCATCAGCACACCAGGATCACCAATATGGGTTCAAAAGTTTTAATGAACGATCACATAGTTACAGCAAGGCAATGTTTCGGAATCTCACAGGACCCCTTCATCAGGCATATGAAAATGCCTGATGAAGGGGTCTAGCGAAACTCCAAAACGTTGCCTTGCTGTAACTATGTGATCGTTTATTAAAAACTTTTGGACCCAGAATCTCTGCCGCAGTCCCGCTATAAGTTGCTGATTGCCACCATTACTAGTAAAAATAAAAAAAAAAAAAGTGTTAAATCCCAGTATAAATACCGCCATTTGTAAACGCTATAAACTTTCATGTAAACCAATTAATTTACATGTATTGGGATTTTTTTTTTTAGCAAAAACATGGAGCAGAATACATTTTGGCCAAAATTTATGACAAAAATTAGTTTTTTTTGTTTTTTTTTGTTTTTACTGGACATGTTTTATAGCAAAAAGTCAAAAATATTGTTTCTCAAAATTGTTTTTTTTTTTAATAGTGCAAAAATTAAAAAACACAAAGGTGATCAAATACCACTGAAAGAAAGCTCAATTTGTGTGGGAAAAAAGGACTTAAATTTCATTTGGGTGTAGCGTTGCATGACCGTGCAATTGTCATTTAAAGTAACATAGCGCCACAACGCAAAAAATAGACTGGTCAGGAAGGGGGGGTAAATCCTCTGGAGGGCAAGTGGTTAAAGATTTCTATCATGTCTTCCCTTTCCCTTCTTTCCTCCAGACTGGACATGTTAAGTTCCTGAAGTCGCTCTTGATATGTTTTATCCCCCAGACCAGGGTGGGCAACTGTGGCCCTCCAGCTGTTGGTGAACTACAAGTCCCATCATGCCTCTGCCTTTGGGAGTCATGCTTGCAACTGTCAGATTTGCAATGCCTCATGGGACTTGTAGTTCTACAACAGCTGGAGGGCCACAGTTGCCCACTTCTGCCCCAGACCATTCACCATTTTAGCCCGGTTTCTGGACTCGTTCTACAATGTGCGGAAAATTGTGCACTTTCCTGACACTCAGAGAAGCGAGCTGCCATTTAGCAATCCAACAAATCTGCAAATGCATTGTGTGTTCGCACATGCCAAACTGCAAGGCGCCCACATTTCGGTGTGACATTTTTTTGGAAAAAAAAAAAAAAGTCTGGAAAAGAATTGTCACCAGACCGGCCTGAGGACTGCATGAAAAAAAATCCATAGATAAAGTATTACAGGATGCTTGGGAAGAAGTCTTCAGTCTTAAAATGCCAGTCCACCCAGAGCCGGTGTTGCATTTTTTCTTGGATGCTACAAATCCAGCAGAACTTCACCCAAAAGGGGGATGTTCCACTTTTCCTCCTCCTCCCCCTGTCCTCCTTCACATTTGGGACATGTTTTTGGTGGGGGGGGTACCTGGTCTTGATAAGGGATCTGTTCCCCCACGTCCGGTGAGATGAACGCAGCGACTTGAGCGGAGGCTTGGCCCCTATTCCTTCCCCAGCAACCCCAATTCCTCTCTGGGAATCCTTTGTCACTGACGTGCAGAATAATAAATGCCTAATTGGAAAAGAAATACTTCTGACACAGTCTGAGAGAGAGTGAGAACAAAAGGGAGGGGGGGGGGGGAAGGGAGAGAGAGAAGGGAGAGAGAGAGAACACGAGAGAGAGAGAAACACGAGAGAGAGAGAGAAAACCAGAGAGAGAGAGAGAGAGAGAGAGAGAATGGGGAGAGAGAGTGAGAACACAGGGAGGGGGGAGAGAGAGGGAGAGAGAACACGAGAGAGAGAACACGAGAGAGAGAGAGAAACACACGAGAGAGAGAGAGCAAGAGAAGAGAGAAAGACAGAACACGAGAGAGAGAGAAACACGAGAGAGAGAGAGAGAAAACGAGAGAGAGAGAGAGCAAGCACAAAGAAGAAAAGATAGAAAACGAGAGAGAGAAAACAAGAGAGAGAGAACACGAGAGAGAAAGGGAGAGGAACAAGAGAAAGGGAGAGGGGGACGGGAGAGGGAGAGAGAGGGGGAGAGAGAGAGAGGGAGAAAGAGAACACGAGAGAAGAGAGAGAAACGAGAGAGAAGAAAGAGAGAGAGGGAGAAAGAAAGGAGAGGAAAAGGGAGAAAGAGAAACGAAAGAGAAAAGGGAGGAGGAAAAGAGAGGGGAAAGAGAGGGAAAGGTATAAGAGGGAGAGAGAAAGGAAAGGTAGAGGGAGAGAGAGGGAAAGCAAAGGGAGGGAGAGAGAGGAAAGGTGGAGGGAGAGAGGGGGAAAAAACTGGAGGGAGAGAGGGGGGAAAAGTAGAGGAGAGAGAGAGGGAAAGGTAGAGGGAGAGAGAGAGGGAAAGGTAGAGGGAGAGAGGGGGAAAGGTGGAGGGAGAGAGAGGGGGAAAGGTGGAGGGAGAGAGAAAAGGTCGAGGGAGAGAGAGGGAAAGGTCGAGGGAGAGAGAGGGAAAGGGAGAGAGAGAGAGGGGAAGGGAGAGAGAGAGGGGGAAAGGGAGAGAGAGAGAGAGAGGGGAGGGGAGAGAGAGGGAAAGGGAGAGAGAGAGAAAAAGGGAAAAAGAGAGAGAGGGAAAGGGGGAGAGAGAGAGGGGGGGGGGGAGGGAGATAGAGAGGGGGAGAGAGGGGGAGAGAGAGAGAGGGGGGGGGGGGGAGAGAAAAGGGAGAGAGAAAGGGGGGGGGAGAACACAAGGGGGGAACACGAGAGAGAGAGAGCGAGAAGAAAAGAGAGAAAGATAGAACACGAGAGAGAGAACACAAGAGAGAGAGAGAACGAGAGAGAGAGAGAACACGAGAGAGAGAGAGAGAGAAAGATACAAGAGAGAGGGAGAGAGAGAGGGGAGAGAGGGGGGGAGAGGGGGGAGAGAGAGGGGGGGAGAAGAGAAACACGAGAGAGAGGGAAAGGGAAAGAGAAAGGGAGGGAGAGGGAAAAAGAAAGGAGAGAGAGAGGGAAAGGGAGAGGGAGAGAGAAAACAAAGAGAAAGGGAGAGGGAGGGAGAGAGGGAAAGAGAAAGGGAGGGGGGGGAGAGGGGGAAGAAGAGGGAGAGAGGGAAACAGGGAGAGAGAGGAGGGGGAGGGAGAGGGAGAGGGCGAGAGAGAGAGAGAGGGGGGGAGGAGAGAGAAAGGGAGGGAGAGGGGAGAGAGAGAACACACGGGGGAACACGAGAGAGAGAGCGAGAGAGAGGGGAACACGAGAGAGATAAAGGGAGGGAGCGAGAAAGGGAAAAGAGAGAGAAAGGGAGAGGGGGGAGAAAGGGAGAGGGAGAGAGGGGGGGAGAGGGGGGAGAGAGAGAGGAGAGAGAGGGGGGAGAGAGGGGAAAAACGGGAGAGGGAGAGCGAAAGGGAGAGAGAAAGCGAGAGGGAGAGAGCAAAAAGGTAGAGTGAGAGCTAAAGGGAGAAAAACAAAAAAGGAAAGGAAGAGAGAGACAAAGAATGAACAGACAAAAGAAAGGGAAGAAAGAGAGAGCAAAAGAAAGGGATGGGAGAGAGAGAGCGCACAAGAGAAAGAAGATGAGAAATGAATGTAAAGAGAGAATAAAAGAAAGAGGAGAGAGAGAAAAGAGCAAAAAGGGAGGGATTAAAAAAAAAAAGGATAGATAAGAGAGAGACAGAGAACGAAAAGAAGAGACAGAAAAAAAAGAAAATGATAACATAAAAAAAGAGAGAGAGTGAGAACACAGAGAGAGGGGGGAAGGAGAGAGGGGGAGAGGGAGGGAGGGAGAGAGAGAAAAGAAGGGGGGGCAGAGAGAGAGAGAGGGGGGGCAAGAGAGAGAGATAAAGGGAGAGCGAGAGGGAGAGAGAGATAGAGAGAGAAGGGGGAGGGAGAGAGAGAAGGGAGAAAGGGAGAGAGAAAGAGAGGAGAGGGAGAGAGAAAGGGAGAGAGAGAGAAAGGGAGAGGGAGAGAGAAAGAGAGGGAGAGGGGGGGGGAGGGGGAGGGGGGAAGAGGGGGAGAGGGAGAGAAAAAAAGGGAGAGGGAGAACGAAAGCGAGAGGGGAGAGCGAAAGGGAGAGGGAGAGGAGAAAAAGGGAGAGAAAAGCAAAAAAGGATGAGGAAGAGAGAGAGACAAAGAATGAACAGACAAAAGAAAGGGAAGAAAGAGAGAGCAAAAGAAAGGGATGGGAGAGAGAGAGAGCGCACAAGAGAAAGAAGATGAGAATGAATGTAAAGAGGAGAGAGAGAAAGAGCAAAAAGGAGGGATTAAAACAAAAAAAAGGATAGGGAACAGAGAGACAGAGAACGAAGAGACAGAATAAAAAAAATGATGACATAAAAAAAAAAAGAGAAGAAAAAGAATAAAAGAAAGAGAAGAGAGTGAACAAAAGAAAGGGATGAGAGAGAGAGAATTAATGTAGAAAGAGAAAAAAAGAGAGAGCACAAAGAGAAGGGGAAAAA